CCATGCAGTGAACACAACAACCAATGGAACAATGAATTAATTCTATTCCCAAGTGTAATAAAAAAAATTCAATAGAGAATGTAACTAAGGTCCCAAAACATTAGGAATTCTCATCAGAAGAAGTAATTCATTACAGAAGATATTCCAATTTATCGCAGAATTTGGGCAAAATTCACAAAGGCAATAATATGGACTATTAAGACATTATCTAGTACTCCCACAGTGCCTACCTAATTCATAAAGCACCAAACAGAGACCAAAATTCTGCACTTTACTATGAAAAGCTTAAATCCCATAAATAGCAAAATTTTGAAAAACACAATGGAGCGATGATACACCAGAATGTGCAACACAATCGTGAAGCGCTCAAAGAGTTAACATATAATACGACAATAACAATGTAAGAATGCGATGGAAGATAGGAAACAAGAAAAATGGAAAACACAATTGATTTAAAATTGAAATATGTACAAAAATTAAAAATTACCTTTAAGATGTGAAATGTGCGTGCAAAGAATAATGAATATAAAATTCTATGCCCCAAAATGTTCTAACGCACAGTGAGCATGAAGTAAAGACAAATACATTCAACTCCATTAACTAAAAAAAATTAGAATAAGGAAAGTAAGGGAGAGATTCAAGCCAAAAATTGTTCCTAAACAGGGTCGGGCCATTAATAGGGAGAAGAGTGCATTACAAAGAACTCAATCTTTACTCCAAAATATGCAAAATATAAAGTTAACTTAAGCAATAATGGAGTCCCCAAAATCTGATGGTTTGCAAATAAAAAGAGTTGTATAAACATGAAAACTGCACTCAACGGGTCATTGAATACTGCTACAATAATTTCAGAAAACTGCACCTAGGATAAAAATAAAGATCCAGCCTCACTAAAAAAAATAAATCTCTTTCACGACTTTGCATAGTGAATACAGGATAAAATCATAATAAAATTCAAAGAAGCATTCAGAAATTTGCACGATCATCTTGAAAACACTCAAATATTGTTGTTGTTGCAGAATAAACCAAAAAAGAAAGAAAATATTATGCCATAATCACGCATAGTACACACCAAGCATTTTAAACAAATATTCTCACCTCTTTTTTTTTTTTTACAACTTTGATCATGTGAGTGTACCATCAAAATGAAGACAAACATTTAGCATGAATCCAATAGGGCATGAAAGCAAGCGCGACAATGGGGGAAAAAAAATTTGTACAGCACCACAGTGAAAGAATGGAGGAGAAGAAGAAGAAAGAAGAAATGCACTAAAAACAGAGTAAGGGGTATACGTACCTTTGGAACCTCTAAACTTTTGAAAATGGCTACCGGAAGGGGAAAATAAGGGTGTAGAGAGAAACCAGGAATGGAGAGGGTTAAGAAAATGAAAAGTAAAGTGAATGGTACTGATGGATTAATGAGGAAGCATTAAAATGGAAGCTGCAAGGACATGGTGAATAACTACTCAGAGACTGAGCACACGTTACCGCCTTTTTAACTTCTTTTTCTTTTTAAATTTTTAATATTAACATTTAAAATAAAATAATAAAAATATATAATTATTTTTTTAAATTTATATATATATATATATATTATATATATATATTTAATTATATATATATATATATTATAATAACTATATTTATACACTAAACGACAAAACAAAACCTGGGTGACGCTTCTTTGGTACCTCCCTTAAGATATTTTTAAACTTGGAAAAATTCTTCAAGTCCATAGGCCAAAAAGAAGAGCCCAGTCCTAGTGTCGCGTCCCCACAAATGGCTTGCTATGTAGCCACATGATACAAAGTAGACAACTGCCCCAATTAAAATTAAATTTCCTGTGATCTTCTTTTTTCATTCCTAATAGCACTCTGCTGCTTATCAACCCTGAAATTGGATATTAATGAACCAAAAATTATAACAAAAACTACTAAAAGTTTAATAACTTAAAATTAAAAAAATTTAAAATTGCAAGAAAATAATGCTATTATAAACTATCCTACTACTACTGGTATTCCAATTTATGGAGAGTCTGATAGATGAACAATTTCCTTCTCCCTCTGAATTTCTCCTCCAAGATAAATTTTAAGCCGCTGTCCATTAACTTTGAACTCTCTGTCAGATGAAGGATCTTGAATTGTAATTGCTCCAAAGGGAGAGACCTCCTTGATTACAAATGGGCCAGACCATTTTGACTTTAATTTGCCTGGAAATAACCTCAGTCTAGAATTAAATAGTAAAACTTCTTGTCCAGGCTGAAAAACTCTGTGTTTGATTGCTTTGTCATGATAGGTCTTGGCTCTCAACTTGTAGATTGCAGCATTTTCATAAGCTAAATTCCTCCATTCTTCTAACTCAGTGAGCTGTAATTTCCTTTGTTCTTATGACACATTCTTATTCAAATTCAAATATTTGATAGTCCAATGTGCCTTGTGCTCTAATTCCAAAGGCAGGTGACAAGCTTTTCCATATACCAGCTGATATGGAGACATGCCAGTGGAGCTCTTGTAAGTTGTTCGATAGGCCCACAAAGCATCATCTAGCTTTGTTGACCAATCTCTTCTGGTGTTGCCCATTGTCTTCTCCAATATTCTTTTGATTTCTCTATTTGTCACCTCAACCTGCCCATTCGTTTGTGGGTGATAAGGTGTTGTCACCTTATGCTTGACATTATACGTGGTGAGAAGAGATTAAAGTTGCTGGTTGCAAAAATGAGTGTCACCATCACTGATTAAAATCCTTAACACCCCAAACCTCACAAAAATATTTTTCTTTAAGAACTTGATCACAGTCTGGGCATTGTTTAGGGGTGCTGCTACTGCTTCAGCCCACTTTGACACGTAATCAATTGCTACCAAAATATATTTATTCTGAAATGACGATGGGAATGGTCCCATGAAGTCCATGCCCCAGCAGTCAAAAACTTCCACTTCTAAAATGTTGTTCAGAGGCAATTCATTCTTCTTAGTAATATTTCCCATCCTCTGGCATTTATCACAGCTTCTAGTGTAAGAAAAAGAATCCTTGAAAATTGTTGGCCAGAAAAATCCACTTTGCAACACCTTTGCAGCTGTCCTATCTCCATTAAAATGTCCTCCATATGGGGAATCATGGCAATGCCATAGAATGTTTTGAATTTCAGCTTGTGGCACCCACCTCCTAAGTATATCATCTTTTCCAATTTTGAACAGGAAAGGGTCATCCCATATGTATTGATTTGAGTCCTTGAAAAATTTCTTTTTCTGCTGCCATGTCAGATTTTCTGGGATGATATTGGATGCTTTAAAATTGGCCATATCAGCAAACCATGGCCTTTCTGCGATAACCAATAGCTGTTCATCAGGAAAATTTTCTTGAATTTCCTCTGTTGCATAGGAAGATGAAGTCCCTTCAAGCCTTGATAGATGGTCTGCAATCACATTATCTTTGCCTTTTTTATCACAAATTTTCAGATCAAACTCCTGTAACAGTAAAATCCAACGAATTAGTCTTCGTTTAGACTCTTTCTTTGAAAACAAAAATTTTAAAGCAGCATGATCTGTGTGAATAATCACTTTGGACCCTATGAGATATGATCTAAATTTTTTCAAAGCGAAAACCACTGCAACTATTTCTTTTTCTGTTGTGGCATAATGTGTTTGTGCCTCATTTAAAATCTTACTTGCATAATAAATTGTGTGAAAAACTCTGCCTATTTTCTGTCCTGAAATTGCTCCTACAGCAAAGTCACTAGCATCACACATAACTTCAAATGGAAGATTCCAATTAGGTGCAGTGATCAGTTTCCTTTTTATAACATTAAAAGCATGCAGGCAGATTTCATCAAAAATAAAGGGAGTGTCTTTGTTCAAAAGTGAGCAGAGGGGTTTAACAATTTTTGAAAAATTCTGAATAAATCTGCGATAAAAACCAACATGGCCCAGGAAACTCCTTATCCCTCTGACATTCGTTGGAGGTGGCAGATTTTCAATGACTTCCACCTTTGCTCTATCCACTTCAATTCCTCTTGCAGAAATCTTATGTCCCAGCACTATACCCTCTTGGACCATGAAGTGGCATTTTTCCCAGTTGAGAACTAGGCTAGTCTCTATGCATCTTTGCAAAACACAAGACAAATTAGTCAAACACAAATCAAAAGAGTGTCTAAAAATAGAAAAATTGTCCATGAAAACTTTTATGGACTTTTCAATCACATCAGCAAAAATGGCAAGCATGCACCGCTGAAATGTAGCGGGAGCGTTGCACAGCCCAAATGGCATTCTTCGGTATGCAAAAACACCGAAGGAACAAGTGAATGAGGTCTTCTCTTGATCTTCCGGGCTGACTGCAATCTGGTTGTACCCGGAATAGCCATCTAAAAAACAATAAAACTCTTGGCCAGCCAGTCTTTCGAGCATCTGGTCCATGTATGGCAATGGAAAATGGTCCTTGTGAGTAGCTTGATTCAGCCTTCGGTAGTCAATACACATCCTCCACCTTGTCATAGTCCGAGTGGGGATGAGTTCAATATTATCATTCTTGACCATTGTCATGCCTCCCTTCTTAGGCACTACTTGCACTGGGCTTACCCACTCGCTGTCTAAAATGGGATAAATCATCCCGGCTGCTAGAAGCTTCAGTACTTCTTTTTTCACGACTTCTTTCATTGTTGGATTCAGTCTCCTTTGTGGCTGCACAACTGGTGTAAATTTCTCCTCCATTTTAATCTTATGCATGCAGAAAATGGGACTGATTCCTTTCAAGTCTGCAATAGACCATCCAATGGCTGCCTTATGCTCCCTCAAAACTCTTATTAGTTTTTCTTCATTCAACTAAGAGAGTTTGGTACTGATTATCACTGGGTAAGTCTTCTTTTCCCCTAAAAATACATATTTTAAGTGTGGGGGCAAGGGTTTCAATTCTAGCTGTTGTGCATCCACTGAATTTGACTCTTCCAAACTTTCAGCATTTGTATTTTTCTGCAACTCAGGCTGAGCATCCAACTGCCGTACAATTTCTTACAACTCTTCATCGACTTCTTCATCATTGTTCATGACAACATTGACTAAAGTCTTTTTCAGTGGGTCTGTACAAATTTCAGCACCAAAGCTTTTTGCTGAAATCAAGGAATCTACCATATCCATCCTAAAACAAGTGTCTTTCTCATCATTCGGATGTTGCATAGCCTCAAAAACTTTAAAAGTTACCTTCTCATCATGCACCCTTAACATTAATTGTCCTTGCTGCACATCAATCAAAGCCCTTCCAGTGGCTAGAAATGGTCTTCCTAGGATCACAGGCACCTCAGAATCTTCATCCATATCCAAGATAACAAACTCTGTTGGAAAAATCAGTTTGTCTACCTTCAGCAACACATCCTCCATTACACCATATGGGTATTTGATGGACCGGTCAGCTAGTTGGAGAGCCATTTTGGTACTTTTAACTTCCCCCACTCCCAATTTCTTCAAAATAGATAGGGGCATCAAGTTGATGCCGGCTCCCAAGTCGCATAGAGTCTTTCCAATAGTCACATTTCCTATAGTGCAGGGAATTGAGAAGCTTCTTGGATCTTTCAACTTATGAGGCAACTTTTGCTGCAATATTGCACTGCATTTTTCGGTTAAAGCTATTGTAGCATCTTTCTTCAATTTTCTCTTCTTTAAAAGCAAGTCCTTTATGAACTTGGCATACAAAGGCATTTGTTCTAACGCTTCTGCAAATGAAATATTTATGTGCAGCTTTCTGAAAATGTCCAGGAATTTAGAAAATTGCTCTTCCTTCCCTTTGTTCTTGGGAATGTGTGGATATGGTAGCTTAACATAAAGAGGAGGAATTTGAGGCTTGCATGAGTCTCCCAAAATCTGTTTCTTAGATCTATTCCAATATGCCTCATCCACCACTAGTTTTTGTTTTGGTGGAATTTTCTCCTCTTCTTCCTCTTTTGCAATCTCCAATTCTGCTTCTGGTTGCTGTTCTGCTACCTCTTTTTCTTATCCAGCAATTTCATCATCATCTTTTTCAAGTGGTTTTTTCTTAGGTTGTGGCTCTATCACCTTTCCACTCCTAGTAATAATTGTTTGGCAGAATTCTTTTGGATTTTTCACTGTATTCCTAGAAAAAGAGCCTTGAGCTGGTTCATTTATTTTCTTTATAATTTGCCCCATTTAGTTCTCCAAATTCTTCATTGAGGCTTCTTGATTTGCCATCCTTGTGCTTGCATCCTGCATAAACAAATTCGTGGTTTGAGTTAATTGCACAAGTGCTTTTTTTCAAGAGATGATAACTAATCATTTGCTGGTTGGTTTGGTGGCTTCATTGGTACTGAATTTTGAAAATTTTGCTGCTGCCACTGTCCTCCTTGCTAGTTCGGTCTTTGTGCAGGTGGAGTATAGTATGATTGGTTCAGTGGCTTGGTATTTAAGTTGGAATTTGGTCTGAACTACTGCTGTTGACGTGGATAAACAGGTTTCTGCTGAAAGTTTTGTTGCTGCCACTGCAATCTTGAATTAAAATTCTGTTGCCTTGGCATGTTATTCATAAAGTTCACCTGTTCAGCCCCTTGTTGCTGCGTGTATTCAACTCTGTCTTCACTTGTTCCCTCATTGTATTCCTCTTGGCTGATGGGAGCTACATAGTGCACTAGTTTATTCCCTTCAAACTTCATGTTTTCAAACTTAGCATTGAGAGAATTCAACTATTGTGACATTAATTTGTTCTAGGCCAGCAGTGCATCCAATGTATTTAACTCCAACACACCTCTTTTAGAAGAGTTTATTTCCCTATGATTGTAATTGTTGGATGCCAAACTTCAATAAGTTGGCGTGCTTCTTCCAAGGTCTTTTGAGCAAATGAGCCTCTAGCTGCTGCATCTACCATTGTTTTTGTTGCTACATTCAGCCCATCATCAAAGGTTCTCAATTGAAGCCATTCAGGTAGCTCATGATAAGGGCAGCTTCTCAAAAGTTCCTTAAATATGTCTCATGCTTCTTGAAGTGTTTCATCTTCCCTTTGAGAAAATGCCAGAATTTTTTGCCTCAACTTGATTGTTCTAGAGGCTGAAAAATACCTCGTCAAAAATTTACTCTCTAAATCATCCCAAGTAGTGATACTTCCTTCCGGTTGGGATAACAACCAACTCTTTGCCTTATCCCTTAAAGAAAATGGAAAAAGAGACAACCGGATAGCCTCATCACTCACACCATTCATTCTAATCATTCCACAAATGGTCAAAAAATTCTGAATGTGTAAGTGGGGATCTTCGGAAGGATGTCCAACAAATTGCTCTTGCTAGACCACTCTCATAAGGTCAGGTTTGATCTCAAAGTTGTTTGCCTGAATGGGAGGTCGAACAATGGAGGTGGGGTTTCCTCTCGGTTTTGCACGTGCATAATCATCCACAGTCCTTCGTTCTTCATTGGGATTTCCTTCCATTTCTGCAGAATTCTGCTCTTGTGGGTCTTCTTCTTTTTCTTTTTCTGAAGTTTGTCCTTTCTTTTTGTTCTTTTTCTTGAAATTAATAATTGGCTGGTCAAGTTCTGAAGATGAATCACTCTTTTTGATCTTCTCCTTGCCTCGCATCAACCAATTCAACTACTGCACTTAGGTTCCTGTCACAAACCTTAAACATAACAAACGTTATTAACCCAATCTAACATATTCTCATTACCGTTGATATTAACAATCATTATCCCAGGCAACGGCGCCAGAAACTTGATAAAATTTTTTGGCAAGTGCACCAAATCGTTGAAGTTACAAAGATTATTGTCCACTGGGATAAGTGTTAAGTATCAAACCACAAGAATATTACTAGTTGAGTCACCAAAAATAGGGTATATATACTAGTATGAAATTCACACAGCAAAATTGTAAAACTGAAAGTAAAGATGTTGGAATTACAATTAATAAATGGATAAAAGTAAAACTTAATATAGAAAATAATTAACAAGACTGCACAATGTAAATAACTCAAGTAGAGAAAATAGGTTTTTTTGCAAAGATTAATAAATGGGTTGAGTTTAGAATCCCTTATCCCTTTCCCCTTGCTTAAAATATAATTGTAACTCAAAATATAGTCAATCTAATGGTCAGGTTGTCTAAATTATCCAACTCCAATCCCTTGGTAATTGGTTCTAAAATGACTTTTAATCTTCTAATCCTTTAGGTAAACCAAAAATGTTCAGCATTAAGGATAAAACCTATATAACCACATTATCATAAATTTCTATTTCTAGACAATTCATAATAAGTATTTTAACCACAGTCCAAGAAAGTCCACAACTTTCTAGCAATAAACTCCTTTTCATCAACCCCATTCACGTATAACAGCGAGGCATTAAGTTCAGAATTAAAAAGTTAGATTAAAGCTTTCATCTTGAGTCACATACAATGCTTAGTTCATTGTAATGGGTAAAGGTATAAGTTCATCTTTAGTCAACCCAAAGAGATTTAGCTAGACATTATGAAAGGAAATGAATTAAAACTGAGATATATTGCAGAAACGAAATTCATAGTTATAGAAAAGCTTACAGCAAAAGGATAAAATGAAAGTGTTACTGTTCTATTACAAAAATTAGAGAAGATGAAAAGGAAATTCAAGTTCCCATGAGAATCCTTCTACCAAGATGTCAAGAAATAGCCCTCGTTTCCTATTCTACGTAAAACTGTATGAAAACCTAAAAAACCGTGCTCCAGAATGTTCTAAAAAGGAAAGATAAAATATGCCGCATTTTTAGAATTTTTTCACTTTTATATGCATCAGTCAGCATCGTGTCCCCACAAATAAAAGTCTGTGTCCCCACAAAGTATGTCCTGCAGCACTTAACTTTCGTCCTTTAGCCCAATTGCTACTTTTTGTCTAAATTCCTTCAAAAATTCAATTACCAACATCAGAATATAAATGATCTATAAAAAATTTTCAATACTTGTAACATACCATTGAATTTTCTAATTAATTGCATTAACTTATAATTTAAATCTAATGAAATATGCCAAAAATCTCTAATTTCCTATATGAGTTATAGACTCATCATGACCTCACTCAGGCGAGGAGTCGCAGGAAAATTTAGTAGTTCTCTGGATCTAATCTCACCCAGGCGAAAATGCTTCTCCTCTAGGCGAGATGCTTCTCGCTCAAGCGACGTGTTTCTCACTTAAGCAAGAATATCAGAAAATTTAGAGGTTCCACTGTCTGGTTTTCTTGCCCATGTGAGGGTTCACTCGCCCAAGCAAGAACAGATCTCGCTCAAGCGAGAATTGGCTCACTTAAGCGAGAGCGTGCGGGCTGGAGGGGTATTTAAAGGGGGCCTCAATGCTTAGAAACTTTATTTTCTTACCAAATAGCTTCTCTCTCTCTCTCACTTTCTCTCTGTTTTCTCTCTTATTACTCTTAGAGAAAACTTTCTCAAAGCTGAATTTCTTCCCGATCAAAGCGAGATCTTTCATCTCATTGAGGTCTAGGTGAGTTCTCGGAACTCAGTTCTCAATTTTTACCTTGTTTCTTCTCTCTCTTCCTCAAGGGACTTAAATCGGGTTATTTTGAGTATATTTAAGCTGATCAAGTTGTATTTCACACCCAAAACGGTCGATATCTCTACGAAACTCACTATGAGTACTATTTTGGAACTCACTCTAGTTGAGGGGAGCTTACCTGATTTAATCCAGTCCATTTAATAGAAATCGTGATGTCTATATAAGTTATTTCATTTTAGCTGAGAATAATGGGCAATATGAGTTAACTTTAGACTAAAATTCAGATTCTGTGGATTTAAGTAGATTCCACTGTTGTCTGATGATTGTTTAGAAAATCGTGTTGAAATACAATATGTTAGAATATGGGGATATATTAGTTGAAAGTGTTAATATGTACTTAAATACTTAGTATTGTTGTTAGAATATGTATATAGCTGAGTTGTTGAAACTAGGTGAAATAATATGTCTGACTGAAATTGCCGAAATTGAAAAGATAAAAAAAAAAAAATTGTTGTGTTGTTAATGCTGAATAAAAATGTATTTATTGTTGTATTGCTGAGGCTGAAAACAAAAATTTTGCTGCGTTGTAATATGCTGATTTAACTTTGTTGCATCATATTCATTATCATCATTTAGAACTGATTAGGATGTTAAGTTGTGCTGTATCTGGATCCAGATATTGGGATGAGTTGCTCTCAAACTGGAAAATAGTTCCTCTGGATTATTTAGGCTGTGAAATCAGATGAAAACTGAATCGCTGCATTTGTATTAGATGGGCTGGGAATGGGCTGGAAATGCTGCATTGTTGTATTAAAGCTGTGTAATGCTGTGTGCTGACTAATATGAGTTGTTTAAATAATTTTATCTATATTTCATTAATAATGTAGTCGATTATATAAGTTCATCCTTACATTTTGTTGTATTGGTATGTGTGTGCTACAATGATCATACAATGGTATGTGATTAGAAGGTACATGAAATGCATTTATTTCTCAAGCTGAAAGGTCTACCTGAGAGATTTTAGAGTTAATATTTTAGAAGAACATAGAGTTAACCATTTTGTTGGGTTTGATTTGAGTATTAGGCCTAGACTATTGAGTCACTAATTGGCCAAGGAATGTAATTACATTTTAAACTATTGTATTTTTAGACCCTCACTGAATCATTATATTGTAAATATATATAAATTTTGTGTAAATTTTAATATTATATGGAAATATTAAAAAAATTTCGTTATTTTGTTAACATGAATGCCGAAGATCCATTTTTCATAGGGTTATGCTTTTAAACCCATATATATAAATTAAATAAATAAATTCAGAAAGATAAGCAAAAATATCATTGTTCATAAAAAAAGATTGTGACATGTAGCACCCTATTATAACGCGTGCCAAACTTTTCCGATGATTGTTCGTCTTCCATGCATGCGGGTGCTTGCATTAATAAAATCAAATTCCTCGTCAATAAACTGTCGTCCTCCACCAGACGTCGTATGTGGAAAATATCTTTTGAAATGATAGTTATTTGCAAAAGAAAGAAAAGCATTACATAAATTTTATTAATGAAATTGATTGTTTTTGTTAACATATATATTTTTTATAAGTATAATATATTTATAAAATAACATTGGTCATATTTAAATGAACTGATAAATAAGTCATTGTAAAAGAAAAAACAAAATATAAAAAATAAATAAAATTTATCTCATAATTTAGAAATAATTTTATTTTTTTCAAATCTTAAAAAAATTAAATAAAATTACCTTCTAAAAAATAGATATAATAACAAAATTTTATTATAGGTGTTGATATAATAACAAATTATGAAATTTTAAAATGATGATTTTTAAAAAAATAATTTTTTTAAAAGTAGAAAAAGACGTCACGCCAAAAATCGCTAGAAAAATATTTAAATTTTTATAAAACACTATATTTTAGTAACTTTTTCTTTCTATTTTATATATATATATATATATATATATATAAAACGCTTCATTTCCGCGCTGTTTAGGCCTTTGGGTCCTTTCTGATGTCACGTAGATCTCTCATTGTAGAGTTTAGTTGTTTTACCTTTTTTATGTTAATCAAAATAAACGCCCCAAAATCGTCTTTGTTTGTTCACTTTATGTCCTGATAAGACCAACCATCGAGTTTTACAAGAACATACCATTTCATATTAAAAAAATTGTATACATTGTTTTTTAGTAAATGTGGTTCTCTTATAAAATTTTACCAAAAAGAATAAATAGAAACATTTTATATAATTAGAGCCTCCATTTACTCTTTTAGTTTTTCCCCTTTCTTAACTTAATCTCAATCAAGCTCAAACAATCGATTAGCTAGGTCCCACTCTTTTAAATTTAATTAATCACGCATTAATTTCATGTGAAAGATTCACTATTTCACTTATCTGTATTCTTATTTTGCTGTGCCCTACTATATTATTTCCCCTTGCCCCCAATACATGTCAACTTGCGTTACATAATACATGCTTTTTCGAATTATAAATTTCAAGTTTTATCTGTAAACTGTTAGTGCCACCATGCTTAAACAACCTCAGGACGAGGAAAGAAAGGTACATATAAGAATCTATCTCAAAAGCATGTGCATCTGATCCTACTCAAATTTTATAGGATGATATAATAGCCATGTCCTGTTATCGTAGAAGACATGCACTAGGCATTCTCATTTCATATTCTTTTATATGCAGCTAATGCTTTTGTTAACTAATTAAAAATGCTTAGGTACTCCTGATTACTCCATTGTGTACGTAGTTGAATGAGATATCGCCCCAACAACATATTTGTCAGCAAACAGCTGATTGTTTATAATAAGGATTAAACCGTATATAACAAAGATAGATTAGTAGTAAAGCACTGAAAGAACAATTAGTACAATAAAAAGGACAAAAATGAAAAATAATCAAATAGTTAACATCTAAAGCTGATGTAAGAACTCCACTATGTTAGTTGTCCAATGTTCCTGCTGCCCATAAACTAATACAGTTTGATCTGACACAGCAACAACACTTATCTAAATTTTGTTCGTTCGCTGCTTCCCACTTTTTCCTTAAACCAATCCAACTCCTTCAACAATTGAATAGATGGAGTTAGTACTTAGTACTAAAGTAACCTAGCTATAAGCTTATAAATTTCCCTCTATGGGTATTTAATGAGACTTTATAACATATTTAAAATATTATTTTAAAGAAAAATAGTTTTAAAAGTTAATTTAATTTAATCCAATAATCTTTGACCTTATAATTTTTTAAGTTGAATTTTTAATTTTATAAAATATCATTTGTTTTAGTCTTTAATGTGAGTAAAAAATATTTCTTAAAATCAAACCACTCGCTTAATATTGGTTGTCTTTAGTAGAAGCGGGCAATGATGAGGATGGAAAGTGGAATATTTGAATAATTAATGTAAAGGGAAGATACATAGGGGTGGGATATTGGGGTATTGCATGATAGCTAGGAAAGCAGAGTGGGAAAGGGACGGAAATATAAAAATATAGACAATTTCAGTGTATGATCTGTGATTTATACCTAATTTTTGGAGGATTTCCTATGTATAATAAGTACTCATCTCATCATCGTAGGAGGGACTACTAACAGGAACAAGATATATTTTGTGCTTCATCTTCATATGTATGCATAAACCCCACTTCATTATGAGTCCCCAAAAGACTGGGTTATATTATGCTCCTTGATAAGGCCAGGGACAAACTCCAGGACTCCATTATGTATATTATATGTTTTTTAATCATTTCATTTGAGGCATGATGGGCCATTTCAGATATTTAAGTTTATTTGCTGCATCAGTAATCTATTCAGGGCTTCAGCAATGGGAAAATTATGCTCCACCACCAATTATCTTTTAGCAATATATATTTATCCAATGTGATTTGTATTTATAAAATATTGTTAATAATTTTATACAAAATGTTATTTTATCATCTAATTATTTGATTGTAATTATATATTAGGTATATTATTTGTATTAAATTTTATAAAAAAAATAGAAGATAATTTGTGTCATAGGAACTTATAATGATCGATTTTCAGATTAAATTATTTAATAAAAATTTACTAATGGTCTATAAATTAATATAACTCATATTTACATTAGTTTTTTTTTGTATTATATATATATATATATCAATCTGTATTTATTGAACTTTTTTAAGCAAGATTTTGAATTCAAGTTCATACCTTTGTTTTTCATTCGCCATGCTAATGATATTTTAAAATGAAACAAGATTACCTCTCTTATAAAAGATACATATAGTTTTGCCAAAAAAAAAAAGTCACGTTAAGAAAAATATTTAGTTTTAATTTATATGTCATTTTAGATAATTAAATGTTATTTTATTTCTTTCATCTTATAATATTTTGCTAATAGATTGAGGAATATATCAATTAAAAACAACATTACAGATATTTTTGTAGGCCATTTGATATTTACAGAATTTTTCGACATCATTTTAAAGAAGAAACCTTTTGAACTAAAGGTGTTATGGTTTTTTTTCCGGTGGACCCGGCAAAAAAACCCTGCAGTAGGACATGGAAGAAATAGTGGGAAATAATTAAGAGAAGGAAAATTGAAAGGAAGAGTAAATGTAGGCCCGTTCGCTACGTCTCGTCAACTTGGTCATTAATATGGAAAAAAAAGATATTATTATTTACGAAAAGATATTTGTATATAAATTTTTATAGCATTATATTACTTTAAAAACTTAAAATAATAAACAAAGCTGTACATCTTAAAATTTTTAAATAAGTAAAATATATTTAGAAAATTAAAATGAAGTGTACATTAATTCTTGATTTAAAATAAGTTGTGTAGGTAAAATATTTTAATCTAAAATTTAAAAATTACAAAAAGGAAAAGCTTGAAAATTAACTACCTGGACAAATATTCCTAGTCTTTCACTTTACATGTTTTTGTTTTACTTTTGATATTTCATGGTGTATAGTATATTAACAAGGTTATGAATTACAACTAGTACATAATTGTCACTTAAACACGAAAAAGGAATTATTTTTATTATCAATTAAAAATACACTTTGCATGTTGTAAAAAAAATTCCATAAGTGCAAAAAAAATATTAAATAGAGGTGTGTTTTGCTGAATTTTAAATGGTAGGAAGTGCAATTAAAATTTTCTTGTTATTATCTTTATCTATTCAAATAAAATTTTCTTTCATCCTATTTCTACTCCGTTTTTTATTTTCATGTTTCTTTTCCCTTTATTTTTTTCATGACTTTGTTCAAACATAGGGTGTGGGGACACATCGTGTGCAGAGAGCGCCATAGACTCACTTGTGAATCAAAATGAGCGTACCAAGGAAGTAGAAGGGAAAGGTGGAAAAAGTGATAAGTACTGGTTAATAATCACGGAAGAGTACACATATCTGGCTGCAACAAATAAAACCGCAAGCTGCTTTGAAAATCTAATAAAATCATGTAACGTCGATTTTATAACCTATGGTATTTAAATAAATTTAACGTGAATCCAAACAAGTTTAAAATTATAAAAATTTCGTGTTAAAGCCAACATGAAAATTAGGTCAGGAGAATGCAGTTTGGTTTGGCTTGGGGTCCCCATTGCAAAATAATTCGGTGCGGGTCATAAAGTCATCATGTTTTTCCGACTGCCTCTCCCCAAGGGGGACAATGGCCAAACATTCTCCACTAGGTCTAATCTCATTTTCACACGTACGTTTCGAACCCTTCTTAATGCTTCTTATGTTTTACCAGGGAATCGATGAGTGAATGCGTCCTATAATAGTTTCATTGGTTCCATTTGCGTGCTTGATGGGATCATTCGCCTATACTTTGTCTTCTAAAGATTTTGGCACATCTGGTGGCACCTTCTCATAGGACCGAAACATAGGCGATTAATTTAATTGATTAATAGAAGTCACACATACATACATATATAAGCGCACACGTTGATTCTTGATTGGATTGATGCAAAATTATCCGAGGTTGATTGATTGATATCGGGTATGGTGATAATTATAAGAATATTACAGTCACCTTTTTATTTTTTTTGGGTTTGGACGTGTCTGCATTATGAAGATGCATCACCAATTTGCCATTCTCAGGATGTAGCTAACAGAACTGGATATGATTAACTAATTAAGGCTCACATTTCTAATTATTTTCACATGCACCTGCGAGGCTTACCTTTCATATATCAGGCATGCCAATTAAGAGCTTGGTTTTCGAAACGATAAACTCTACCAACCAAGACATGGAACGTGGGCTTTATTGAATTCACAGACAAGTACAAACCAACCATATAAATACTTGCGTTAAGATTGCAACTTGCAAGTAACAGGTATACAAATTGAATTTTGTTGTATTCTAGCTAGCGAAAACCTTTTATCTATTCTTGATTAATTGGAATAGACAAACTAACCCATTCATCTAGCACAAATTCTTGTCGTAGCTCGGCGTGGGGAATAAGTAGAGTGACAAGTAGGAAAAGTTTGCCTCTTGTTAATAATAGCGTTCTAGCTTAAAAGGATACCGCTTTAACAAAAAATTGATCAGAATTAATTAAATTTCGTAAAGCTATTTAAACTTTGTAGGTGGAATATGTAGTTCTGAAGCTGAAAGCAAAGGAAAAGCCAAATTAGAAGCTGTCAAGAAATAAAACCGCTTTAAGTCCCTTAAGTTAATAATTACTACATACAAGAACATAAATATCAAATTCGATGAAAAGGTCTCGATGAGGAAATTGACCTGCCACCTATGCTTCCCATGGTCGCTTTTTTACTCCTCACGGTCATAGAACAAATGGGGGGCAACATGCATATATACACGCATCAACATCAACAATTAATTAACATGCTTCGGTTGCTAATTAATTTATCAATACAAAGGCACCGCCAGTCGCGGCGGTTTTGGCGGTGGCTTCTCGACGGTGATAACGATGTTCTCTAGCCGCGGAGGTTGGCACGGGCACGGCATGGCTATAAACTTAGGCACCTCATCCCCGGGCATCAACACGGGCAAGCTCTCACCCTTGCTCTGCTTCAAATCCTGCCCACCAAAAAATTGGAAATTCAAATTACGTACCACTATAATTACATATTAATTTATAGTATAGTTTAAAGTGGCAATTACGACATGAGTTTGTTAAAAATAATGCTTAATTTTTTATAAGCATATAATTACCGCGGAGTGAAGTTTGGGTTTAGAGGGTGAGGATTGGGTGTGGGAGTGTGCAGGGTCGGGTTGAGATAAAGATTGACGTAAAGAACGGAACTTGTCCCAGTGGTAGCAACAAGAGAAGATGCCGCTCAAGCTGAAGATGATGATCAAGAGCAGAGCAGTGCCCAAGGGGAAGCCAAGGGACGGTCGAGATGAGTCCATGCGGGGTGGGGAAAGATCTTGGCCCTCCATCATCCACACTCCTTGTTGGTGTTGCTACTGTGGCTAATTTTACTCTTATGCTCATGTATTTGATATTAATGAGGAACGAGGCAAATATGGAGAATTTGGAAGTGTGGGTTTGGGTTGGAGTTGGAGGAATGGATGAGGATATATAAAGTGTTTGAGACGACGTAAGGAGTTAAATGTGAAGGTACGATATTATCCCTTGTCCCGTGTCCAAGCCACGGTACGGAAGAACGGTTGTTGAATAGTCATCTTTGAGAGCCATGATCGTTAATGAACGCTGCTTTATTCTTTCGCACCCAGGATTTGGTGCAACTTTCGGATCAATATTTTTAAATTTAATAAATAATCACAAATATTGCATTAAATAAAAATTCGTTAATTTATTAGCAAATTCCGTAAGGTTAGTAGGGTTTAAATAGATATTAAAATCTATTCTGATAGATTATATGCATGAAAAAAAATGATTTTATCGTTTAGTTTTTTCTTTCTTTCACCCATCTCACATCATGCAAGTAGGTGTAATACAAATATTATAAAAATATACTCTTTAATAATTTTTTTTTAAAAAAGCTTAATTTTAGTGTACCTTATAAAAATGAAAAATATTACTAATATTAACAATTCATAATTGAAGATAGTATAAAATTTGTTTACACTGTCAGTGTAATTAAATTAAATTCATAAAAAAAAAACAACAGTTGTTTTTACATTATTTTATTTTAATTAGAATTTTAAATTTTGAGACCTTGAAAATTATAGTCACGTTGAAACTAAATAAAAATTAAAAAGACTTTTTGCACTCAACTGTAATAATCACATAACTAATGTAGTATTTGAATATTAAATCTTGGATAAAAAATTATAATAAACTTTGACATGAATAGGGTTGCAAGGAAACAAACGAACAAACCACTGCGACTATTGAGAGGTACGAAAGGCTGCGGGCATTTGTACATGTATGCTGTTCCCTATTTGTCACGTGCCTTCTTTTGTGTGATTTCTAATGATGGATTAGTTTCCCCTCAATCTTTAATTAATCGATTAACTCTTTATTAGATGAAAATTTACGGTAACGGATTACCTCTTTAAACAAAATTGCAAGATAGGAAGATATACTTAGAATAACCATCAGCAAAGTTTGATAAATATTAATTTCTTTGCTATAATCACATTTATAAAAGGAATATAATTTATTATAAAAATAGTATTCATTCCCCCAATTTATTTTGTTATTGATCAGAGCACCTTAATGTCAATTCTTCTTCTTTTTTTAAAGATTTTATATGTTGATAAATATAGCTGTGATTTTAAACAGTATTATACTATTCATATGCTTTGCGCCAGTTCAATATTTGTTTGGCTTATAGTTGAAATTTCATTTTATTAAAATGAAATTTACTTAGGACAATAGATTCACTAAGTATTGTACAAACTAGTTAAAGTAAATTAAATTCGTAAAACTTTAAAAATTTTAAAATCATTTTATTTTAATATATATACTGTTAAACACGTAAATTAATTAGTACAAAGTTATTTTAATTTAATTAATAGTTTCAAGTTTGTATTTTTTACAATACAATAATATTCAATACTTTTCAATTACAAAGATAAAATAAACAGTTTGCAATTATAAAAAATAATATAAAATGATTTTTAAATTTAAAAAATGAATTAAAATTATATATAATATATACTATACATTTAAATATGTATATATTAAAATATTATTATAAAAATCAAATAATAACATTTTATACCATTGATATTTTATAATGAAATAAATATTCTATTTTTAAACAGTACAATGATCAACTTGTATTTAGCTCATGCTGTCACCTTCACCCAAAGTCTCGATATCATTCTCATTATTTTATTCTTTGTTTTTTCATACGATCTTAAGATTCAATAAACAAACTGTTGAAATATATTGCATGTTTATTGGAGTTCAAATTAAAAAAAAACTATAAAATATGAACAAATGATAAGAAAAAAAAAAAGCAAAGTTAAGAAAAGGAGCACAAAAAGAAAAAGTTGCATGAAAGAAAATGGTGAAGAATAATTTTAATGGAATTATCATTTTAAAAAAAAACTTATTTAAAATATTGTTAAAAATTTTTAAAATCAAAATTGAAAGAAATAATCTACTAATTTAATTAACTTGAAAAAAAAAATGATGTCCTATGCACGAAGGCGGGCTACCCGAAAAACGTGGAGATCCAACCGCATCAATTCAAAATCACAAGCAATAAATAGCCTGGTTCAGAAAAAATAAAAAAACAACCTGGTTAATCCATGTTAGTTTGGTAATAATATTTTTAAAAAAATTGCATAATTATTAAAATTTTGAACTCGATTTAAAAATAGGACATGCTATTGTTAAAAAAATTAATTATTTTAAGAGTATAAACTCAACTTTAATATATATAAAAAAAAACCCACTTGTAATTAATGTGAATCTTTAAATATTTAAAATATCATAACTATTTAAAATATCATGTAATTCATTAAAGAAATTGTATAATATTTATATTTTAATATTAAAAAGTTATAATAGTTAATACTTATGTTTCTTATTTTGACATAAAAATATCATCGCATTTTAATACATTTCTCATATTCATAAACACTAAAGTACGGTAACAATAGAAAACGGTAAAGGAAATTGGGCAATGTAATCTTCAGCTTTATACTTATGGCATTTGCATAACTGAAACATGAAATTAAGGTCTCTTAATAATATATGTCGTATAATTCCATTACAAAATTATACTAAAACTGACAACTTTTGCGAGACGCTAAACATTTTAATAATATGTTTGTCTATATCTCCAAAAGCTTGGCTGAAGGATATTATTGAAGTGTCTTGGAAAATGTCATATATATTCTGAACTAACTTTGAAATATACAGATTTTAAGTGAAGAAGAAGAAACAGATCCATGAAATATGGAAAGAAGACCGACAAGGGTAGAATCGCAACGAGCAATCATGCACATACAATAAATTTTATCATAATTTTATAACTTTTTTTATTACATCATCTTATTTATTAGTCCTTTCTCTTCTCTTTTTATTTTAATGTTAAATTGTAATTTTTTAAAATAATAATAATAATAATAGTATGATTATTTCAATCCGATCAAGCATGTAGGATCCAATGAATCGCTATGCACGTTAAGTAGGCTATAAAGAAAATATATATTCGTTAGCATTCTAAAAATATTTTACCAAAAAACATAAATATATAGTTTTTCATATATTAATAAAATTTTAGTATTTATTTATTCTTTATTTTAACCTGTGTCTTCAGGATAGGGATGACAATAGGTAAGGTATGAATAGGATACTATAGTATCTATCTCTATACATATATTTAAAAAAAATACTCATATTCAGCCTTATATCCACGTGGATATGAAAATTAATCCTTATACCTATACTCTTTGGATATCTGCAAACCTACCCATCTTGTACTCATTATCCGCACTTATTTGAAAAAAAATATTTTAAAAAAAAACATGTTTATATAACTTCATATAAGTAGTATAATAATAGAAAAATTTAATAAGTAGTTGGCGAACAAGATGCAAATATAAATAAAAAATAAATATTCAAAAATTACAAGTGTTATATGTATCTTAATACAATAATTTTTTAAACTAAAATTTTTATTAATAATAAACAAAACTAAATACACAAGTTATTTGTCGATGATAATTTTATCTTGTTTGAGATTCGATCGATCAGCAACATCAGAGCGACAACGAAATAGATATGCACAATGAGCAACATTAGATTGACAACGAAATAGATCTGTACAATGAGTGACCCTTTGTGTAGGATCACGAAATAGATATGCACAATGAGCAACAGAGCGACAACGAAATAGATCTGTACAATGAGTGACCCTTTGTGTAGGATCACTTGATGACTTATTGTGGCGTTATTGACAACTAACTTTAACGAATAACATTTCATAGTTGCTAAGTTTTAATAAGTTAGACATTGATAATAAAAGTAGAGTTAGGGCAGAGAAGTTCAAGTATTAAATAATAACGAAAAGTGGATACATAAAATATTTTTTTAACTTTTGAATCTGAAATTATAAGAAAAATAATGGATTTCATTAAAATAATATAAATAAATAAATATATATATATATATATATATATATATTAGTATTTTTAACTCATTTACTATACGAAAGTATTTTATCAAAAATACAAATTTTTAAAAAATTATTTTAATGAATTAAATATTTATAATGTATATAAATAAAAGAAAAATTTTGAATAAAAGATAAATACTCACAATAAAATTTTATAATAAAGAAATATACGTGTATATAAAAAAATTACTTTTTTGTCTGAAAAAATTAACAAATAAAAATTAATAATATTTTTTTTATATTTTATATCTTTCTAAAAACTTCTTTAAACATAAATAAATGGTAAAAATAATATTATTTAGATTTAATGAATTATAATTGTACTTGTAATGCATATGTTGCATAGAAAAATATTATTTTAAATTAAAATATAAAAAATAAAATTTAAATATTATCAATAAATAATAAGCTTACAATAATAGTAGGTGATTGTAAAATTTATAAAATATTTATAATATATTTACTATTTATCATTCACTTTATGATTTAAATATTAATATGATTTTATTGACAAAAATATTTGTATAAAAAATATTTTATCTATCATATATAAATAATATTTTTAAAAAAAATTTAATCTCATATCAACTGTGTAATAATTAAATTATATTAGACTAATTAAACAATATAAAATAGCAAATAAATTTTTCTATTAAAAATATAAATTAAAATAAATTTTTTGGTTTACTTTATTATTAAATATATTTTTATATTAATCTTATATAACTTCACATAGGTAGTATAATAATACAAAAATTTAATATATAGTTGTAAAATAAAGTTTATATATATATATATATATATATATATATGGAATAGGATCCATTGACACTAGTATAAGTCTAAAAGACTTATACTAATTCCAAACTGTACAAATTAAATAATTTAACTGTTAAAAAGTTATATTTTTTTATTATTTTTTT